TTGTTTTTGTTTTGTTTTGTTTGTTGGTTTGTTTGTTTGTTTTCAGTGAAAGAGAAAAAAAGCCAAAATGATGGTGAAACATTATCTCCCTTCAAATTTTCAAAACCTTGAATGAAAATGTTAATGGAAACAGGAAGAGTTTTTTCCTTTTTTTTCCTCCTAAAATATTAATCAAAAAAAATAGCATTTTTTTTTCATTTAGAATCCTCTTTTCAGGAAAAGCTAATCTGTCTGATGAACAAATAAAACACTTCCCATGGAGGCAGAGACAGAACAATCTCTTTTTTGTCCCACTGTCTCATTAAGAAAACACGGCACAGTTGAAAAATGTTAGTACTTTAAAATGAAAGTTCAAGGTCGTTTGACTTTTGAAATTTCAACACATATAAAATACTTGGAGTTTTTCTGTCTTTAACAGGCTTTTAGAAAGAGTTTATATCCACCTAAGTCTCCAAAGATGGAAAGGATGTGAGCCCTTGCCTCTGATAATCAAGAAGAAATATTTAATCAAGAGGTGAAAGAAGTGTTTGTAAATACATAGTAGTCCTACATGCAGCTTCCTATTTCAAAAAAATCATGTTTTTCTGCAGCGCATTTTAAAGGCAGCAGCACTGAGTCATGTACAGTGTTGGCAGGAAACACCTTTCTGAGCGTTGGAAGTGGGAATTCCTTTAGCTGGGATGAGTAGAGAAGAAGTGCCATCTACTGTAACGTTGACACTGCATTCCTGCAGCCTTTGCTCCCGGGCAAATCTGAGCACACTTGTAAAAATACCTTTTCTTTACAGCTGGTAGAAATTAAAGCCCAACACATCAAACCGGAAAAGAACTGGAAATTCCTGGTTAACGCTTTAAAAGACCCCAGCTCCTTATTTTTTGTGCTCTGCATTATTTCAGGTTTTCCTGTGGATTTTTTTTAAGTTCACAGCAGTTATTACCTTGTGTCTGGTGTCAGGTCTGGGAATCTTTTTTTTTTGTTCTCTGCTTCTCATTTGACTGTGTGCTGATGAGTTAAAGAAGAAGGGTTTTTGCTTTTCCATTCATCCTTGTAAGCACTGGGGCTGTTTGCCATGTTGACCTAGGGCTGGACTGGTAGCTGGCAGGAATTTGATCACAGAGCAGGACAGAAACAAAGCTGCAGTATGCAATTATTACTTTTTGTTTGTTTGTTTGTTTTAATTTGTTTGGTCCAGTGTATTGGTACACTCATTGCATATGTATTCTGCTTGGAAAGCAGGAGCAAATGAGTGAGTTGAATCTTACAGTGAAAATAGAGATTCACCAGGAGAAGGTAAATTCTGTAATGCTTAAATCTTTCTGTAAATAAGAGAGTCTGGATCTGATAACCTTTATTTTTCTTGTTTCTAGGTCCCGGAATTGCATTTGTGGTTTACCCAGAAGCCTTAACGAGGCTTCCCCTCTCTCCCTTCTGGGCCATAATATTCTTTTTGATGCTTCTAACTCTTGGATTAGACACCATGGTAAACTGCTTTTGTGTCCCACCGTTTTCCTATTTGTTTGTTTGGGGGGGACCATGAGATTGATTGCTATTTTCCACGTGGGCAGCGAACCGGTTTCCCTAAAAGAGGAACAAAGTAAAAGACCATCAGTGCTGAAATCATTTGGGCAGAGCTCTGGTGTTGACATCTGAGCATTTAGATACGTAGGACTCAAAATGCTCCCTGCTGTTGTTTTACATCCAGCTGCACCACTCTGTTTGAGCTGAAACAGATCCTTCCCTTTGTTTTGCCTTCCAGTTTGCCACCATCGAGACGATCGTGACCTCCGTGTCGGATGAGTTCCCCAAGTACCTGCGAACGCACAAGGCGCTGTTCACTCTGGGGTGCTGCGTGTCCTTTTTCATCATGGGATTCCCTATGATCACTCAGGTAATTAGCAACACTGCCTGCGAGCGATCACCTCAGTCTGTCCCCAGTCCCCCTCTGGTGGCTGCTTTCCTCCTGCACAAGCTGCGAAAGATTTAGCTGAGTTGTGACACAGGGTGAGTCTGAGCGCCTTTTTTTTATTATTATTATTTTTTTAATGGATGCTCTGATTTTTAAAATTTTCCCCAGTCAAACATCTCCAAAGTAGTAATGTAAACTAGGTATTCAACCCACACTGACAGAAGGCAGGTTTAGTTTAGGTATAAGGAAGAAATTCTTTGCTGTGAGGGTGGGGAGGCCCTGGCACAGGTTGCCCAGAGAAGCTGTGGCTGCCCCATCCCTGGAAGTGTCCAAGGCCGGGTTGGACGTGGCTTTGAGCAATCTGGGATAGTGGAAGGTGTCCCTGCCCATGGCAGGGGGGTTGGAACAAGATCATCTTTAAAGTCCATTCCAATCCAACCCTTCCTATAAATTAAGGAAAAAGCCCCAACTTTGTATGTCATATAAAGATGCAACCTGTTTGGGGTGCCTTTCCTCCAAGATTAGACATATCCTGACTGTCTTGGCAAACTGAGGAGTTAACAATGTAATTCCCATCTACCACTGATAATCTTCAGTGTCTTCTCTCCACTAATACCTCCAGCATTACAAACCCAGCAATTTCAAGACAAGATGCACAGAATTTTACTATTTTTCCCTCCCCTTTCTCTCTCCCCTCACATCACCCCCTACTAGCCCAGTTTCACTGATCTGAAGCCCAAGGTGGATTCGGTCCTTCCCTCACTTGAATTATGCTGCTTAACCTCTGCCCTGGAGATAGGACATCATATCCTTTCCAAACAGATGAACTGGACTCATTATTGGGGTAGCTCTGGTTTCAAAGGTGATTCTACTTGTCATGTAGTATTACGGGTTAGAGACGCTACAAGTGGAAGGTCTGACAGCGGTTCAATCCTTAAAGGATGGAAGTTGAAGTCTTCCTGAGCTGTGTTGGCTGCCAGAATCTGTTTTTTTTTCTTGCTGGCTTTGATATTCATTCAGCCAGAGGGAAGGAACTGTAGTGCAGCACGAGCCTGCATTTGGTTGATGTTTGGTTGCTGACTCGGTCCCTGTTCCTCTCTGCTCTGCCCACCTCAGTGCCACAAGTGATGGCTCTTCTATCTTTTTTTCCTTAGGGTGGAATGTACATGCTACAGCTCGTGGACACTTATGCAGCTTCTTACTCTCTTGTCATTATTGCCATCTTCGAGCTTGTTGGAGTTTCCTATATCTACGGTAAGAGAAAGCCTATGTCAAAGTAACATTTTAGCACATGATGAAGTGGAGTCCTTAGGGAGAGGAGAATTTTTTTTTTTTTTTAATAAAAAGCCTCAAAATTCACTTATTTTGGACAAAGAAAAATAGGACCTCATTACTGTAGGATACCTTCAAACACATGTATTCAGAAGACTTTCCCGCAGTCTCAAGTCCTTTTCCATAAATAGCTTAAAGCCAGTGCTCAGAGATGAGTCTAAGAACAGACCAAGCAGTGAGTGACACTCTCTGCCCATAACACAGACTCAAGACTAAGCAGCTACTCAGAGGGACTAATTAATCCCTGGTGGTATCAGCAGTTATATTGATCCACGCTGAGGTACACTGAAACGTGAGGAAGATCCTCAGTTGGTACAAAGCAGTGTGCAATTACCATGATGCTGCTGTTGCTGCAACAATTCATACAGGCTGGTGATGTGCTGCCAGACTCTCAGGATGTGCTTTCAGGAGCCTAATTCTTGGAAACGTGACGACCTCCCTACATACCAGGTGATTGTTTGTGTCTGGAATGTGGTGCTGCCACTTAAAACTTGCCTTCAAAAGCAAGGAAAGATACGAATCTCAGTGTGAAAAATGACAAAGATAAGGCTGTTTCTACTGCTGCTGTGTGCAATTATGTAGTTTATATCAGCTGGGCATAAAAATCCCAGGTGTTCTGTTGAAGGTGCATGAATAGCAGCATGACCTTCAGCTTCTGGTCCTGTGCACTGAACGCTTACACCTACCTGTGTTGTGGAGTCCACCCTGTAACATAAGTGCTTTAAAAAAAAACCAGCACAAAATTCAACAAATGCAGAATTTGTTGCTCTTGCTTGAGGCATGAATGTCCTACACAGGACAGGGAATCAGCCCTTTCTTGTTCTCCCTAATTTCATGGAAATGCAGCAGTGTGATTTTTCTTCACTGACATCTAATCCAGTGAGCAGGTCTGAGTGGCTGACAGCGAAGTCAGATATGATATGTTACAAAATATGATAGAAAAATTCCAAATACAGAGAGAAAAGTTGATTTTGGCCGATGATCTTCTGGTAGTTGTTTTCTGTTTGGTTTTTTTGTTTTTGTTTTTGGATGCCCCTGGAATTGTAAGTAATTTGATTAGAGTTGGCCTAGAAGTGAAATGAAACCCAGGTTCTCTCAAATCAACTCAATTCCCTAAGAGATAAGTGGGGATGCTCAAGAAGAGTATGACGGTTTGTTGGGTTTTCTTTTTGCCTTTCTTCTCCTCCTCAGGTTTGTTGAGAGCATGCCTGAACCATGCTGTAATGCTTGAAAGATTTTTAATATTTTAAAAACTACTTAAAATTCTGTAAAATTTCCTTGTTGTGTATGTTTTTAAACAGGGATGAAGGTAACAGAGAGCAGGTCCTGGTTCTGTTCCTCCTCTGAACGCTGTGTGGCAGAAGCACTGCAAACCTGCCTTTGTGGAATGACATCTCATTAGGCTTGGAAGCAAAAAATTGCTCTGGCTTGTGTTTGCTTCACCCAGCAAATTCAGTGTCCCTTAAAACACTAACTTTAATGAAAAATATAAACCAATACACAACCAGTTTTGCAAAGGAAGGACTTGAATAGAGGAGAAGGGTTTTTTTTTTTTTAGTTAGACGTTACTTCACTGTAATCAGGTGTGGAAAAGGACTGACAAATTACAAATTATTCTTTCCATACTTTCTGTATGAACTGGTTGTTCATCAACAGATCTGGGTAAAGCCTTTGCTATAAACTACTTCAAAGGTTATTCCCTGGAATCAACCTTTTGCTGGACTAAGGAGCTTCCAGTCTTTTAAATGAAAAAGGAAAGATTTACTTTACAATCATTACCTGCTTGGCTAATGTACCAGAGCTACTTCTACTGTGTTAGAGCCACTTTTGTAAGGACTGTTCATGGGAGTACATCCTGTACATTTGTGATTTGTGTGTTGTAAATACAAGCAAAGCTGCTGCTCTGGTTATATTCCTTCTAGCAGTGCTCCAAATTGGCATAATATATTTTCAAGCTCTGGCAACTGCTGTTTTACACTCCACTGACACCTTTCTCTGTGTACTTGTACTCTTCATGGCAAGCAGGTTGGCACAATAGTGGCAGGCGCTTTTATGATGAAATAAATTTGTCTTTACTTCTTGTAACATGTTCTGCTTGCTGAGCTCGTTGAGATTTTTAAATTAAAAAGGGACACACTTGGTTATTTCCTTGTAATCACTTATTTTTCAGTAGAGTCAGTGCTCCACAAACCAATCAAATGCAGCCTTTTCATTTCCCACGCTGGTAGAAATGTTTATTCTCCAGTTGTTTAGATTATGATGCATGGTTGGTAAAGAACAGCTTAGAGCTGGGGTTATTAATTTAATCATCAGCATAAATCCCACTGCTGCATTTTGTAACATGAGGCTGAAGATGAAAATCCTCCTGTCTGAGCGAGACATTGTCAAAAGCTGAAAATGTATGACTGGAACTTCGTTTGTGTTCCTTCTAGATCTGCTTCTTTTTTGACAGTCTGGGTTTTTTTTTTGGGAAGCTTTGTTGTCAGAGCGAGTGGTAACTGCTGCAGTGTGTTTGTAAGAGACTTTTGAACCTTTTTTCCTGTAGCAGAAGAGCAAAGTAGTTGCCTGCCTAGGTTTGCAGGCTCCTTTTTTTAATGGGTTTTATATCTGCAGCACTTGTGAATACATCATTCTGCTTTAGGAGGGAGAAATCAGATGTGGAATATCATGTAATGTTTATTTCCCAAAGTTATTCAGCAGGCCTGACTGATCTCAGAGGGAGACCAGATTTGCTAGGATTAAAAAAAAAAAAGTAAAAAAAAAAATTGGTGTTCTGTTTACCAAAGCATCCCTGGCATTTTTTTCTGTGGAACTTTCACTGGAAAGAGATAAGTACTGTGTAATCCCTGTATCTGCTTGCATGCATTTGACCCCTGAACTGCTAATATTAAAAAGTGCCTTAAACTGTGAATATCTGCTGATGATTTCAAGAAAGAACTGATTTTTTTAGTTGGAGTTTCAAGAAAATCTGTGCAGAGTTACATGAATTTTGGAGGCAGAAGGCCCTGGTAACTCTCAGTTAGGTATCCCTTCTTTGCAGCAGCAAGTGTGGCTGGAGTAGAGACTTTAAATGAGATTTAAACTTGGTGGAAAAACCCATCAGCCTGTACCTTGTGCTGCTGGAATTATTTCAAAGCCAACTTTGTCCCCAGCACGCCACATGACTGGCTGCTGTGTGAGAATCTCCCTCACAGTTCTGCAGATAAATCAAACACAGGGGCAAATGGTTCAGTTGCAGCAAAAAACGCCCTTTCAGGTCCATCACACAATGACCTTGGGGGTTGTATTTGGTCCAGGCATACAAACTTCTATTACAAAATAGAAAAGGGTATCGTGATTCAGACTGGTGCTGAAGTACAGTGATTCCATGGGTAAAAAAAAAAAATTACATGTATTTTACAGAGAAGAGGCTTTCTGAAAAAGAACACTTGCTGTAGTCAGTAGAAAAGAGAAAAAGAGGGAGAGAAACTACAGTTAGTGAAAAAAAAAAAAAGTGACATCTGGGTCACCTTGGTTTAGTTTTTTTTAAGCTTACATCCACTGCAGGTTGTAATTTTTTCATCTTCCCCAAACTCAGTTCTTGCAATACCACCTCACTGTTTAATTTCTGGATTTTTCTTCTCTGTTTGTTACCATAACCTGGTTCTTGAGCTCTTCTCTCACATGCTATCTGCCTGAGCTGGGCCTTTAGGGCTGCCCAAACACCACCCAGCCCTGTTGCTTCCTTCAAGCTGCATCAGAAGACACTGAATAATGAACCATTGCTATTTTTTTTTTTTTTTTACCTTCTTGGTTCTTGGAACAGTCAGGTGGATGGATTCATTCCTCCTTGATATCAACAGAAAGGCTTCCAAATTAGATGGATCAAGCCTGAGGATTATCCCTTCTTATACCCTGCAGTCTCTGACTCTAATGAGAACATGAAGTAGTACATTATTTTTGTTCAAGCATTTCTTCCCTTGCTCAATGCCTTTTCTCCAATATTTAAGCTGTCCCCATATCATGAAAGTTGGGCAAAATGCTTTATAAAATTTAGATAAAATTTTTTCAAATTTCAAACGTTTGTGAGACAGATAAGCTCAGACTTGGACCCCAGGCCTCTCTCTTCTCATTGTAATTAGAAAAGCTGGAACCAATGTCAAATTTGGTTTTATTACTTTTGGATAAATTACTAATACCTAAATTTCTAATAACTAACAGGGAGCAGCAGCTCCTGGCCAGCACACTTTTTTCACCCTCATGGAATGGCTGGGAAAGGAGCTGCAGAGTTGGCTGAAATACCATTTTCCAATCTTGCATGTTTGATTAACTCAGGTAACTTTAGAGATTCAATCAATACAATAACCTGAAGAAACAGCACGCCAGTTAATCTGTTTGTTCGAACAACACTGGATATAATTTAAAATATTTACAGGTGCTCTCTAATAATTCCAAGAATCATTTAGGTATCAGCTGAAAAATAACAGGACATCATCAGTTTCCACGCTAAGGGACACAGTTGTAATCCAGTCATGTAGCAGGTATAGAGAAGCTCAAATATTGTCTGTGCTGAAGCAGGTGTACAGATATTAATGAGACTGATCTTCATAGTGAAGTAAAACAAGTCTGCAAATAATTATACAAATAATCTCAGCTGCCCAGTACATACTATTAATGTTTTAACCCCAAACACTCCAAACACCTGATCTCTGTGTAAAAGCTCAATTTTGCTTTAATCCTCAAGAAGCGAATATTTTATTGGAATAGTTACCTCCACATTAGTCCCATTTTTTACTGTGTAGTTGGGTCCTCCACGGAAGTTTTCAACCAGCAAGCCGCAGTTTGTTTTCGTAATTAGGCACAAGGGAGGGCACCAGAGCTCCGTTGCAAATTGCAGTTGGTTTCTTTCACACCTAATTGCTTTTACATTTGCTGTTCACAGGACTGCAAAGATTCTGTGAAGATATAGAAATGATGATTGGATTCCAGCCAAGTAAATTCTGGAGAGTCTGCTGGGCATTTGTGACCCCGACTATTTTAACAGTAAGCAAAAAAAAAAAAAAAAAGAAAAAAAAAAGAAAAATAATTTAATATATTTTCTTGTTGTTGTTTGTTCATCATTCCTGATGTTTCTAGGTGGTAGTAATTAGAGCTTGGATGCAGCTAATTAAACACAAGTGCCTGTGTTCTTACATGTGTGTGTAATAGGAACAGAGTGCAAGTAATGGTGTTTTTGGTGGAGAGGGATGAAGGGATTCTAAATGCTGCTATGGTGGCCTTTCCTGTCCATGCAAAATGGTCCTGTGACATGCTATTGTATAGCATAATTATGGATTATCATATATATATATATGTGTGTGTGTCTCTGTATATATGTATGTAGCTATTTATAGGGTATGTATTTATTTATATTTATAAGGTCATGATCCTCCTGTCTGTTGTCAGGTTGGACAGGGGAAAAAAACCAGTTTATTGAGTCATAAACTAGTCCAGGAGAGATGTTTTGGAGAGGCTGAGGGGGAAATTTGAGTGACAGAGTTTTAGCTGCAAAAAGGTGGAGGTCCTGCTGCAGAGGTGGAAAGAGGTGGGTTCTGCATAAGAAATGAAAATATCTTCAGTTTCTCTAGGGGGAAAAAAGAAAACAAATGAAGAAAGGAAAAAAGGGGCAGAAAAGGGGGAGAAAAGAGGGAAAAACAGGGGGAGAAAAGGTGGAAAAACAGGGGAAGAAGGGGGAGAAAAGGTGGGAAAAGACGAGAAAGAGGGGAAAAGAGAAGGGGAAAGAAAGAAAGATGGGGGAAGGAGGAAGAAAAAAGTGGGGAGAATGATGAAAAAGGGAAAAGGGAGAAGAGGAGAAAAGTGGAAGAAAAAAAGGGGGAGAAATGAGGAAAAAGGGGGAAAGAGGTGGAAGTGGAAGAAAAAAGGGGGCAAATGAGAAAAAGGGGGATAAAAGGGAAAAGAGGAAGAAAAAGGGAGGGATGAGGAAAATAGGGGAAAGGGGGGAAAAGAGGGGGGAAATGAAAAAAGGAGGGGAAGAAAAGAAAGAAAGAAAAAAAAAAAGTCAAAGGAAAAACGATCTGTTGTTTCCAAACCCTTTTGCAGCCGAGGCAATGAAGGAATGAGCCCCTCCGGGCCCGGGCCGAGCGCGGCTCTTCCCCGCCGTGCCCGCAGGTGGCAGCTCTTGAACTTAAATCGGAGCGTGTGCGGTTTGTTGCTGTTCTTCTTTTCCCTCGATTTTTTTACTTCCCACCTCCTTCAAACACCTTCCTTCGAGTCGGTTTAATACTCACTTCACGTTTAGATCTCCGTTCAGTCAAAAAGGACATCACGTTCTCGATTTTGCCACTGCTACACGTGTTTTCTCCAAGTCCAGGGATCCAAGTCTAATAACTGTATCTACAGCTACTATCTCGATTTCTAGTCCAAATATACTAACTATATCTACATTTACTATCTAGATTCCTACCTGAGTGTTTCCTTTATGTTTTAACCCAAGTGCAGGTGCAATCTCTGATTGCACATAATTTTTTTCCTCCTTTTTTTTTTTTTTTTATTTTTTTTTTTTTGGGCAAGAGAATGAAATAATTATTTCAGCCACTTTAAAAGCTTTCAGCTTGATAAATCAGCACTAAACAGCAGAGCCTTCCTTCACCAGCGTTTGCTGTTGGAAAGCACATGCCTCCACCTGGAAGTCCTCACTCTTGGATCACACCTGCAGCAAGACACCAGTATTTGTGCAGAGTTTTAAAAACTCATCATTTCCCTACAAGTCATACAATCACTGAGTGGTTTGGGTTGGAAGGGCCCTTAAAGGCCACCTAGTTTCAAACCCCCTGCCGTGGGTAGGGACACTTTCCACTAGACCAGGTTTCTCCAGGCCCCATCCAGCCTGGCCTTCAATATTTACAAGGATCCATAATTTCTCTGGGTAAGTATTCATAGCTGTTTACGTACAGAATAAGAGAAGTTTCTAAAATTTCTGAAGATATATATTTTGAAACAGTAAGTATGAGGTCAGCTGGCAGGTGAGAAGCAAAGCAATGACTCTCTAGTCCTGTGCAATCAGTTCTTCCAGAGAAGTTACATGTCACTTCATGTGTCACTTTGGGAAGTTCCTGTGTGTGCTGCTCTTTAGTGCAGCGTAAATGTTGGCAAACCTTTTTATTTCTGGGAGAAATGTGTGGGGGGAAAGCCCTGGATAAAGTTAGTAGTTCTTTTCAGTATTGTTAATTCAGGAAGGAGGACTTTTTTTTTCCCTGAAATCTGAAAAAGGCTTAGTTTTTGCAGACAGGAATACATGTGTGAAGTGACTAGCAAGTGTTGGTGAGCTCAGCAAAATCCTGAGTTGTGAGGAGATGAAATTTTCTAGGGTGAGAATGATTTCTCCAAGGGGTATAATGAAGACAGTCTATTTTCCTTGCATAGATTTTCTTTACCAGTTGCCTTCACTGAACTATATTATTGCTGCACATGAAAACCGGGTGGATCTGTCTTAACTACCCGGTGGCAACTGTTGTTTTATTGTGACAATGTATGGCTATAGTTGGCAAATCACTTTCTAAAAAGTTGGAAGACTTAGTCCAGTTTAATCTATAGTGTTAGGATGACATCAATGGCAATGTGTTTTTTTTTTTTTTTTCTCTTGAGGACCTTGTTGAGAATGAGCACGTGTGAACATCATATTTTGTAGCTCTTTTATAGTTCCAATGGTCATTTTTGAGATGCTGCCTTAGGCACTGTTTTACCCTTCTGAAGGCAATTGTAAGGCTCTTCTGCAGATTGCTCAGCTCCTTTACAGTTCAGACTTGTGCTTGTGGCTACTTCCAGTAATCACAACTAGGCAACAGGAAATTATGTTGTTTCTTAAGGAAAACAAATTCAAACTGACCGTGTTTGTCTTCCAAACTTGCGTGTTCTGTTGTTGTTCCAAATGCAATATTTACTGAACTTACAGTGAGAAATAAATTGACACTGATCGGTCATAATTCAATTCTTCTGCAATGGAAACAGACAAAGCAAAGCCAAGCAATAAATTCTTTTCTATTATTGCTTCTGTAAAGCTAATATTTGATACATTTGAATAGCCTAATATTAGACTTTCATTAGACTCCACATCTCTGGAAATAAAAACTGATCATTTTTATATGTGCCTTCACCCAGTTATACTTCTATAAATCTTCTCTGTGCAATTATTGCAAGCACAGGCATTTCCCAAAAGTTACTGAATTATGCACAAATGTAAGCAGATGTATTGCTGTTCATACAGTAAGTGAAATGGAGTAACTTAGCATAATCACATTAGGTAAAACTGCCAATAGACCATGTAATAAAGCACGTTACTCCAGGGAGAAGATCCTAATTTCAATTCTTCTGGCACAAATGCAGTGATTTTTGTGGGATTTTGCAGGATTTCCTTGAAACTCATTAGGTTCAGGCTCTGAGCTGTTTATTACAGCTTGTGGCAGCGCCCTGCCTTAGGTGGATGCGCTTTTATCCGTGTTCCATATATTCCAACCCTGTGTGTGGGGGATACCTACCGTTTTTCCTGCATAGCAGGCTTGTTTTGCTTATTCAAACATATTTGTTTTCCTCTCTTCTTTCCAGTTCATCCTCTGCTTCAGCTTTTACCAGTGGGAGCCGATGACTTACGGAGCTTACCACTACCCCGGCTGGTCCATGGTGCTCGGGTGGCTGATGCTGGCCTGCTCAGTCATCTGGATCCCGGTTATGTTCGTGATAAAAATGCATCTGGCCCCAGGCAGATTCATCGAGGTAATTCTTCTGCCTTTTTGCTCTTTACAAATGCAGTCGCAGCAGACCGCCTCTTTTATTTTACATTGATTTTTTTTTTTTTGTGATATTGAATGTCTAATAGCGCTAAGATTACTTTCTGGTAAAGTAGTTGTTGCGTTGCAAAGGGATGCTCAGTTGATTTCAGTTGTAGACCTTCTATTCCTCACTCCTCAACAAAATGTCCCTGAATTGTGGAGTGATTATTTTATTTTGTTTTATTTTTTTGAAATCTAGGAGGGGTTGCAAATTTCATGAGTCCTGGTATGGCTTCACCGGGAGAAAGCTGCTCTAGCTTTGTTGGCCTTTTTGCAAAAGCAGGGTGTAGACGTAGGAAGCACCAACTGCTGCTGTGTACTGTGCTGCAGGGAGCTGGCAATCAGCGCTAGGAGATGGCAATCAGGAGTTGCCTGCTTGCAGAGTGTGGGATGGTTGGGTTCTGGAGTCATCCGGGATGCGCTTCAGGAGGTTGTGCCACTCGCTGAAGTTCAGGAATAAAATGCATGAAGAGACCTCCCACTCTACATCTCAAACTACTCATTACAAAACCTAGCTGGCAATCTTTGCCTTACCCTTCTTCATCTCTTTATTTTTCTTGAATAAGCGGATCCCTCCTGGCACCTGGGCTTAGAATAACTCCAGCTGGCGCTTTATTTTTACCTGGCTTTACCTGTTTATTTTGCAAATCAGATTCCTGACACTTCCCTCCGCTGCTCCAGAAATGTGGTGGTCACCTTCTGCTCTCCATCCTTGTGCCTTGTCCCTGCCTGCCACCCTCATCCTCCCCTGTCCCCTTCCTGCAGGCTCCTCGTTTCCCTGCAGGGCGTGGTACAGCAGTGCCTCTCTCGTGTCAGCGTTTCATCCCTTCACTGCCCCTCACCGTGTCTTCTGAGAAAGCTCAATGCTCCTTTTTGAGGGCTTTGAGGCTTTCTCAGCTCTGCCATCTCGTCACTGCATGCTGCTTGTGCTGTTCCCTCCCTGGGAGGAGGAACAGACGCTCTCTCCCCTCTCCGGAGCCGCTTTTGCAGTTCAGCTTTCCCTGCGAAACCCATCGGGGCTGTTTTACGGCTCAAAAATAAAAAAAAGTAGGGAAAAAGTACTAAAAGAGCATCATCCTTTTGGTCTCTCAATATGCCACAATGCACATGCCTAAGGGAAAAAAAAAAAAATTAAAAAAAAAAGACCAAGATTCTCTGCTTCCCATAGAGCAAAGGAATTTAACGGGAATTCTCACAGCAGTGGGACACCCCAGGGAAGGCATCCAGGCACGTGGTTTGTAGAAGGCAACGAGGCCACTTGTCTAAAGGGCCACTCAGCCCTCGTGTAGAAGAGCACATTGGAGTGCACAGGTCAGGAGACAACTGCTCCTGTTGGGAATGAGCTCATGTGGAACTGGATTTACTTGTTCGTTGTCTCACGAGCTCCTCTCACTGAGGAAACGGTTCCCCTTCGAAACTTCTCATGTGTTGAACTGGTGTTTATATATTGCCACAAAACTAGGGTTTTCTTACTGTCCCTCCAGTCGTGCACCCAAAGAAGCTCCCAAGAGTTGGATCTGTTTGGAAGGGGCTTTTGCTGAAGCTGTTTCAGCTGTAGCCTGGTATTTCCTCAATACTGAGTCTGTTGCATAAAATTATTATGGTTGATTTGGGAGGTAAGAGTTGCAAACTGGTAATTAAGCAGAGATTAAAATAACTGATAGAGAGGTCTGATCCACTTTATTAGGTAATAAACATATAATTGTTCCCTCTTAAGTCATCAGAAATATGTTTTCTTTCCCTTTTATCTCTGAATGCACCGATCAAATTATATATTCAATAAGGAAATCAGTGGAAAGATTTGAAAATTTTTGTTGTTTGCCAGGTTAACATTCTCCTCTCTCTGTTTTTCCTGCAGATAGAAATGAAACATCTCAAAATTAAAATCTTTATTCATTCATAGTGATGTACTACTTTTTGGTCATCTGTATACTTTTGGGAAATATGCTAAACAGGAATCCAATTATTTTAATGCAGTTACCCAGTGCTTAGACCATTGGGCTAAGTAATTGTGCACATGTCCTTCAGTAGGAGAGCTCTGCAATCTGTAACAGTGGTTCTGAGCTCCCCTCATATGGTGTGGGGGAGAATGCATAATTAAAATCTGGGCACTTTATCCTCTATTAATCTTGAAAACTTTTTGTGCAAAACAAACGCTGAGCAGTAGAGCATTGCAGGGCCATCATCAATAACCTTAAACGAGCTTATCCTCGTTTCTTCTGCATTCTAATTGTGCTCCATGACATCAAATGAGACTCTCTTTTCTCTCCCCCCCCCACATGGCAGCGACTCAAGCTGGTGTGCTCCCCACAGCCTGACTGGGGCCCGTTTTTGGCCAAGCACCGAGGTGAACGTTACATGAACATGATTGATCCACTGGGAACCTCCTCCCTGGGACTTAAACTGCCAGTGAAGGATATGGAACTGGGGACACAATGCTAATGATTTGTTACTAAGGGGTGGCAATAACATTGTCAGCCTTTTCTGATATTTTTTTTTTTTTTTCCATTTTGTTTCCCCCACTGTTTCTTCTTTCCTTTTCCACAGTGCCAGGAAGTGGTTGCTTAGGAAAGTAGGATTTACTGTTGCATGCCATAGGGAAGACCTAGCTAGACCACTTCCAGGTGCAGCTGATGCCCGTGACATGTTCTGTACCCAGTGAAACAGCTACAGGTGACAAACCAGGTGACACACCAGGTTTTGCCGGGTGATGTAGGAATAAACAAAACCAAATTTGACCCATTTCCCACAAGCGTCCTCGTAACAGGTGGCTGTGATGGAACTAGGATTTTGCTACTCAGAGGAAGGTTTAGCCCTCAGATGGGCTGGAAGCAAGCAAAGAGGGGCATCTCCCCTAGTCCTGGTGTAAAATCCAGCCTAAGGCTCCTGTGAAAAGTGGGGTTGCTTTTTCTATGCTGACAGCAGACCTTGCCCCGTCATGTCTGCTCACACCTTTTGTGATTTATACCAACTATGAGGGATTGTTATGTTATATAAACAAATGGAGACTGTTTAAACAGCACACCAGGAAGTAATATGTGGGGGTCAGAACAGAAACACGATAATCCATTCGATCTTTTCAGGAAGAAAAATAAGAACAAAGTTAAAAAAAACTAGCCAGTTGAGACTGGGGCTAAAGTGCATTTGAGCCTAGAAATGGTTTGGAAATAGTGCCAGAATGAGATGTATGGGCATCACTGTTTAAAGTACTGTCATATGTTTCTTTCAGTAATCTGACATCTGTCATTTCAATTAGAAATGCCTGAGTTTTACAATGTGTCTGAGAGCTCATCCTACACGAAGTGCAACTCTGTTTTTACTCACTCCAGTACTCTGAACATAATTTTCCTTGTTTCTCTGCTTTTGTTTACAGTATCTCCTCAAGAAGCCATCATATAATTTGTGCCTAACTTTGTATTCTTACAGTGGTAAGTGTAGTCTAGTTACCACCTGAAAACAGTTATTAGAAGTTAGATGTGCTGTTCAACTTTGTGACTCCCCATTCATTTACCTATAAAACATCTTTATATAACCTATAACCTTCAGATGATGTATTCTTCTCTTTCAGCCAAGGGGGAAATAGCAGGACCCCACTGGTCTATATATTATATATATAGCACATAAATTCCTCAAAGCAGTATTCTCTCTGAAAAGTGAATAGGGGTTTTCTTTGCATTAAAACATTTTCATTAAATAAAAAAAGCCAAAATCCACAATAATTAACCACTGCAGTCAATCCACACGGTTGCAACCTCAGATATACAAAATGCAAGGGTTGAGGTGAGAGGACAATCTAGTAGATGGTCATTATAACATTGCATAGCAGTAGGACTTTCTAAAGCATTATATTTTAGAAATCAGATATAAGCAGCGATATGAATACTAGATTAAAATAGTTTTGTTACCTATTGGGCAGAGTGAAAAATAGAGCTTTTTAAGAGTACATTTATTTACCTAAATAGAAAATTAGCCCAACTTATTGTAAATGCACTAGAATGAGGGAGAAAAATATATCTTCGATAATTGGCAAAGCAGTAATCTTTATTATCTTGTTATATCCTATACACACATATATGATATTTTTTAACAGTGATCAGTGTTCATGTAGTGTGTGCTAGTGCTGTTTTATGTCCCTATAAATATCTTAGCAATCAGTGTAGAGACGATGAGCTTAGAGTAGCCTATCCAGTTTTTTCCCTCCCCGGACGCTACTGTAGTAGCCCGTAAATGTTCTTTCCTTTCAGGGGACTGTTTCTATCCTGTTCCTTTGTCTGTCTGTCTTCATATTGCAGGGTCTCAGGTAAATCCTCCGTTCACGTGTGTCCGTAGATCAGTAGGTGTGTTGTTTCATCCCGCTTGAAGAAAACAAAAAAACCTAAACCTTAATGTAACACTTCCATGAATTGTTAACTTCTTCTCTCTCTCTCTCTCTCTCTCTCTCTCTCCATGTGTGTGTATATATATATGTATATTAAATATATTAATCATTTTGCTGAACTTCCTCTTTCACGGGGCAATTAGTGTTGCCAGTTCTAGGCACTGCTGGAGACCTTTAATCCTCACGCAGAGCAGCTGAAGCGCTGTCAGGGGTTGTCACCCAGGGAAGGGAGGGCAGATTCCGCAACATTTTATGCTGACCTCCCCCTGAATCTCCACTCCACGGGCTCTTGCTGGTCCCTGTCTCACACAGCAGCAGGACAGGACCCTCCTGTGAGCTTCTCTGCCTTAAAGCTGTGCCCCCTTGCTTCAGCTTCGCCTGCTGTTTTAATAAACGACTTGTTATTCTTACTTCTGGCTTTTACTTTCCTGACAGAGGCAGGTTTCAGAAGCCATGCTCTGTCTGATCTCGTGAAGGTCCAGAGACATGAGCTGGAAATTTGGTCCCCATGTCTAGGTGAGGCTGAGAGACCTTCCCTGGGTGCAGAAAGGAACCTAAAGATTCTATGTTTTGAAGTCAGTACCTCTAGCAGAAATTAGGTATTTTTGTCAGGACAAATCGCTTTGGGCCTCTCTTGGCCAATATTCCTTAGCATCTTGGTTTGATTTTTGGAGTCCAAGCCAGTTTATCTTCACTACTACTGTGATTAAAAAAAAACAACAAGTATCCACAGGTCTGGTCCTCTTTTGAAAGAAGAAAACACACTCCAAGAGTTTGAGAGTACTGAATCCTTTCACTTATTAGCTTGTCTCAAGACAAACTGGGATTAACTAATTGCAATAAAATTACCTCAGTGTAAGGATGCCAGTTACTGTCTAGCTGAATTTATGAAAGAGTTATCATTTGAAGGAGCACTGCTGGGGTACGATATCTCTTGGCTTGGATTACCAAACCAGAATGCGTCTGAAATTGCAATTGAATTGCTTTCCATGATTTATGTAATTAATCTGCCTGCTTTTAATTTAGATGTTGTTCCTGTGCCTGGTAAGTCATTAGCACAGGATTAGGCTTGACTTTGAAACTCTGTAAACAGATGATAGTGATTTTTTTTTTTTTTTCTGGCTGATCTTTGTCTTCAGCTTTGACCCCATTACTAGGCTTGCAAAAACCTTTGGAGAAGGGGGAGAAATGCGTACAAAAATCACAGAAGATGTGAAGTTTTCACTGTCTGTTAAAAGCAGGTTTGCTTTTCTTTTTGTCACATCAGGCTTTTTTAAAAAGTATTTTACTGGCCAAATCTGAGAGCTGAGATTAAATTAACCAGCAGTGTCTTCTTTAAATGGAAGTAATCTTGAAGTTTGGGAATGCACTTCATTTACCATATTCTAAGAAAAGTTTGCATGTGTACTTTGATAATTTTCTAAAAATAAATTTAGTAACTAATAACATACCAGTAAAGATCTTTTTAAAAAAAAAAAAAGGAGGGGAAAAAGCCATATTAGTAAAAATGTGATGTACGTTCTTGCAGATCTATCTATCTTGTGAGTAAAAAATGTTTAAATTTGGTGAAATTATGATGCATATTTTTTCTTTGAAATGAAATTAAGTTCCTGGATGAGTTGAGATGCATTATTGTATGCATTAAAGATTATACCTAATGCAAATGCTTGCCATCTTCAAATTCTTTGGGGTCTTCCTTGTGTTTTTAATATGCAATTTTCAAAACCTGTGTTTCAGCTAGACAAGGCAGCACTTTGTTTCCACAAGAAGGGTTTAACAAAATGACCTTTAATTGAGAAAGACTTGGATTGTCTTTATATGATGTTTCAATTGAGTCAAAGTAGTCTTTTGATTAGGTTCTGCTCCACTGACCACATTAGACGTGCCTCCACACTGAAGATCATTGCTTCTGATACGCTGTGTGACTGCCTCTTACCACCAAATTCCAACACCCGATTGATTTTAAATACCTTTGGTCTGTTTGCTATGCACAGTTGGGTGGATAATATGATTTCTTGTTGCCTGTGTTAGAGCAATTGCTTAAGTATGGCAGTCATTGGTTTTCCTATCGGTTTCTTATTCTGCAGCTCCACCTCTCCTTGCAGTCAAGGATGGACTTGTAGGGGTTGTGGGTTGCAGGCAGCAGAGCTTTTGACAACTGGCATCCCAGAAAGCTCCTCTGTTCTGCTGCAACACTGTCGTGAGAGACACTTGTTTCTTGGTTTGGAGTTAAGTGGTGTTTGTAAAGGTATTTGTGAAATGGTCAGGGCTTGATATTCCTGAGTGACTCAGGTCCATGACTCGAGGCAGGAGGGGAGGGACGTTGGGGTTTTCTGCCTTTGTCACCCTCAGGCAGCCTACTGCCAAAGAGAGAAGGTTTTCCTGGTGGGTTTAACGCGACGATGTGAGAACCAGGTTGGATCTTTATGCCTGCAACATTTCTGTTTGCCTGCAGCACCTAGGTACATCTTCAGGTAACCATTTGCCTTATAGCTATCTTCCATTGTTAGGACAACTATTGATTGACTAAAACATGTCGTTATCTGTCCTCCATATTAGGTAGTATTACCTTGTAAGGTAGATGCTTGGCTGGAATAAATTGCCACAGCTTTGTCTGGAGCTGTGACAGTTTACACCAGCTGAGAATTTGCACCCTGTGTCCTATGGCACTTTATTACGGACCCATCGCTGATGGGTTAAATCTTAATTACTTGCGTAATGTCATATATAAATATATATATATATATATATTTACAGGCATTCTATGGGGTACTGCTGCCTATGGATAAAGATTTGTACCCTAACCAGATCATTCTAATTTTTTCATGAGCTGTATGTGGAAAAGATATATTATGTTATAAAGGATGCATCATATATATCTCATGTAGTGCATATTATAATGCTGTATGTTATTTATTTCAGAAGTCATTATTCTTGAGGCCCTACCTCAGATTTTGTATTTATGTGTACAAATGCAATTTATTGTATTATATATTTGCCTAATATATTTGGATGTGATAAATTAAAATTATTCAATAATGTACGGGCTCTAAAGACTCCAAATAAATGTCCAGTGTTTAAAACAGAAAATACATCCACTTTTCTGGTGAGTGAAATGCCTCCTTTTCCATCACCTCCTTCCCCACCCAACACACACTAAACATCATTCTTACTTAACACACAGCCTTAAGGTATCCGCAGAATTGATCCATTTGATTGTTGGAAACGTCGAGCAGCAACTGGAAACAGCCCTCGTGGGAAATGGGGATGTTGCACAGCTGCAGAAACAAGTATCATTTAAATGGCTGGGTTCTTAACTATTGAGTGCCCTGTAGCTTGTGGAATGATGGATTGCTTAGCAGAGGACCGACTGGATTTCCTTAAATCTTTCTTGAATCCTATGAATTCAATCATCCCAAAGGTTGTAAAACTTTTGAAAACAGTAGAGTTCATATCTGCTGGGGATGCAAATGGGAGGCCTAAGGGAGGAGCCAGTGAAGAAGGAAAGTGTAAGGGCACAGTTCCAGTGGAACTCCTGCCGTGTGGTGAGGGCAATGTGCCACAACACTGGTCTGGTAAGCAGGTGCTTCCCTCCCCAGCAGCCTGCTAGGGGAATTGTACTGATGCAACCTGTTTCAGTGATGCAGCCTGATTCACTGTTGACAGACACGACCTTTTGAGAAGCCACCCCCAAACACAGCAGCTGCAGCACGATGTCACAGCATGGCATCAGATGTGGCAGCACAAGGCAAGGGCTGATCCCGAAGACGGGACTGTTTCACCGGTTCTGCTAATCGGTTCTCCTCTGAAAAAAAAGCACTTTGTTCTGCCTTCAAACTTGCATTTCTCTGAGATGCGTGGGTAGAGGGAGTGGCAGGACCCAGTGACTCCAGTCGTTCTTTGCATGTTGCACATACAGGTGTATTCCACCTTAGAGAAGCCTGAAGCTGCCGGCGAGCACCGTGAGAGTCCCGAGAGACAGGTAAGTGTAATTAACCCCCTTTCCAGGAGGAAAAGCTGAGGCACATGGAATTTGCCAAATCCCCAAAGTCAACCCGTGTAAGTCAGTGATACAACACATCGATTTTAGGAGTAGGAGACAGTTGTTTGCTGTCACCGTTAAGCACTATGGCATCAAATCTTTAAACTCGTGGGAATGGGTAAAAATCCATGCCCTTTTAACTGGGTTGTATGGATTCACCATGGTCACATTTTAGACCAATGTATGTCGCTTAACACCCGGAGAAAAGGCAGGTCTTCTATTGCAGAGCTCACAGATGTGCTTAAATTTGAAATAATTTTACTCTTCTGGTGCTGAAATTCTTAAGGTCAGGGAATGGGTTGAAGGGCATATCTTACACCAAACAGATTAATCAGTTTTAAAGTTTAGCTTAGACTTTTTAGGCCTCAAACTTTTGCTGATCATGTGTTTGGGAATAATAATAACAAAAAAAAAAGCTGTAGGTGTTGCTCCCTGACTGGGCACAGAAGTAGATAAATGATTTTTCTTTGTAAGGCTTCATTCCGGTACATTTGTCAGTCATTTACGTAATTATAAACCCCAACATGGATACTTTCAGCCTGCTGAATTCATTATATAGCCTTTTACAATTATTTATCAGTGTGTAAGACAGGTGTGGCACATAGTATCCCCCCATTTTACACCTACTCTTTTTCATAATATTCAGGTGTAAGTGCTGCTGTTAACTCTTGCCCTCTACTGGCAGCAAAGCAAACTCGACTCGTATGGATTTTAAGTATCCCTGTGGAGCCAGGCTTTCCAGGGACGTGAGCCTTCTTCGTGAATGGAGATTTTCTACCCCACGAGCTACGAGGTGATGGGGGTTTGCTTTTCTTTCTTTCTTTTTTTTTTTTCTTTTCTTTTTTTTCCCAGGTGGAAGCACTGCAGTTTCCCAGCGTTTGCAGTTCAGCTGGCAACCGAGCCCACACATAATCAGATAGTCTTGGAGTAAAATTGTCTCTCTGTGCCCAGAGAGACACTGGGCCTACTCAAAAGCCCTTCATTGAACTACAGAGTGTCACAAGCTTTGCGGCTGGCAGGACTAACAGTTTAACACCACACAGTTAGCAACTTCACAATAATTTAGGTCAAAATCAAGAAGCATTCGATGACCAGCCGAGAGCGCAAGAGCAATATTTCTCAGGAGCGTTATCTGAGCTGAAATCCAGCTCGCTTGCCAGGACTAACGTTTCAGTCCTGCAAAAGAGCCATCAGATTTTTTATTTTTTTAAATTTTTTAATTTTTTTTTTTTTTTTGGAATTGCTATGAATATTCAGGAACACAGTTTTAATTCTTTTCTGAATGCCAGGCTTTTCAGCTATTCATACTTCCAACAAGGTCACATCAGAAGGTCAGATTTTCTGGTGATAAAGGGAGATGGTTTGTTGCCATTAGAGGAGGTGCAAGAGCAGTGTTGGCTGCAAGAATGGGATTTTTTTGTTTTCCATCCATTTGCCCTGGTCAGTTGAAAATGCTTGTAAGATTACTCGTGCTCTCTGAATGTGTGAGCCTCTGGGCACTGAGCTGGACTAGAGGAAGAGCCACATCTGTGGGACCAGCTCTTTCCAGAGCACTTCCTACCAAGCTGCTTGTGTTATTTTCTGCAGTACCTGTGGGCTTTTGAATGCTTCTAGTGAACAGAAGAACAAATGAGGAATGGTTAGGACATTCTTTATCCACGAGATTGTTCAAGATGTGTTTGAAGCTGTGCTTTAAAGCTGTTAACATAGAGCAAATCTTTGTATGTACACGCAGTAGGGGTTTTTTTTTAATAGTGTTTAATACAGATTTAGATTAATCAGGTCTATTTGAGAATCTAGCCATGACCAGTTTAAATTATATATCCATTTTAGACTCTGCACCAAATGGAAAATAGAAAACTTGGCTTGAATTACATTCAGTTTGGTGTGTAGACAGACAGTGGTTTTACTACTAGATAAGCACAAACAGATCTAAGCTAACAGGAATTGGATATACAGACCTGTTTCACAGAAAGAAATCTCTTAAATAAGAGAGTACATGCTATGCAGAACACTGATGTTATCAGGGTGGAATCAGAGAGGTGTGTCTTCACGTGCTGATGTACCGTTGCCTCTTTTTCTTGTTGCTATGGTTATGTAGCATATCCACATACACACACATGCACTTCCATACCTTGCGTGTTCTTCTCCCCACGCCCCGTGGCTAAGAGTGGGGCTGACAACGGGGGGGGGGGGGGGGGCATCCTCATCAAAGGCAAGAAGCTAAAAAGTTGTATCTGGAAAAAAAAAAAAAAAAGAAGAAGTTGTTTTGTTACACTGGAGATAAATTACTGAGGTGCATTTGGAATGGCCACCCCGGAGATTTCCTGGAGTGCATCACCTTGCTTGCAGCCAGGAACAGCTGTTTCCCGAGATCCTACTAATTAAGTAATTAGGCAGCCACGTCAGACTCTTTGCTCTTGCCAGTGTAAACGTGTGTGGATGCAACTGTCCCCTTAAGACGGGCATGATTTTGTATGGTGTCATCCTAACTTTGTCCAAATGCTCAGTTTATTATTTCACATTTAAGATGGCTGTGTGGTGCAAAACCAAACCACGATGAGGGAAAGCAATAGAGAAGGACGATCCTCGGGCTTCACAGCTGAAATGACTTGTTTTGAATTGTAGCAAAGCTAGATCAGCTGGAAATCTCATTCTGCTCCTGTGCAGTAGGGTGGGAACGTCATCGGGGCCAATAATCTCTCCTTCAAATTGAAATCAGGTGTTCGACAGGGAAGAGTCACTGCAGAGAACCGAGGCATGCTGTGGTCAGTTTCTCGCCAAGGATCGAGCCAAATTAAAGGGCTGGAGGGAACAAATGTTTGAAAACGGGTTTTAAAACAGCCGTCAGAGCAGATTCTCATATGGCTCACAAGTACCATTAAATACTTTACTTCCCCTTTACACTTCAGAGGCACGAAAACGCAGTTAGGTACTTGAGTTGAGCAAGGACACGCGAGAAGCCGAGGCAAGAGTGCGGGTTTCTGTATGACATCCCAGAACTTCTTTTTGTTTATTCATACGGCGCATGAATTATTACCAAGGCTAAATAGTTAATGAGGGTTGATTCTCGCGCCGAGAAGGATGAGGACGGGGCGGGAGGGGGGGGTGCGTGTGGAGGAAAGGCGCTCCCGCAGCATCACCTCGCACCCACGCGGGGCGGTTCCTTCGCGGGGGGAAAGATTCACCCCTCGGGGGAGCAGCGCAGGGAGGGAAGCAGCCGAGCCGTGCGGGGTGCGGAGGGGTGTGCGGGGCTCGGAGCTCGGCCGGGCGGCGGCGCTGGCGAGGCCCGGGGGGGAGGGGGCCCCCCGCGCGTCACGGCGGGGGGCGGGCGGGGAGCCCCCGCTGCGGGGGCGTCGGGGCCGCGCCTGGGCAGCGGGCGGAGCCGCCGCCTTCCCTCCTGCCTCCCCTCCTGCCGCCGGAGTCGTTCCGCGCCTCGCAGGCTGCTGCGCTCGGCTGCGCTGGGCTCGGCTCGGTGCGGCCCCGCAGCCGCCGCCGGCAGGGAGGGAAAGGAGGGAGCGAGCGAGGCGGGCGCCGCCGCCGCTCCCCGCGCCGCGCCCATGGGTCCCCTCCTGCTTCTCTGGGCGTGTGCGGCCGCCGCCGGGGCAGGTGAGGGGCCGCGCCGGGGCTGAGGGGCCGGGGGTCCTGTGCGGGGCTGGGGTCCGCACCGCGGGGTGAGGGCCGGGGGGGGGGGGCCGCCGCCCGGAGCGCGCTGGCAGCGGGAGGAAACTTTGCGGGGAGCCGGGAGCCGCCCCGGCTGCGGCCGCGCATCCCGCGGGGGGACTCGCCGGGCGCTGACCCCCGGCGGGGCGGCCGCGGGAAAGTTTTTGCGAGAGCGGCGTGAGGGCTGCGCCCCTCGGCGCATGAGGGGCGGCGGGCGGAGCGGGGGGTCTGTGCGGGAGGCGCTGCCCGCGGTACCCGCGTTACGGGCGGGATGCGGCTGCGAGCGCGTTATTCCAGCCGGTGCCGTGCCCGCCCCGTTTTCTCTCCAGCGCTGCGCGACCCAAGTACCGCTTCTTGTTCCCTTGCGGAGGCTTTGTTCTCTGTCCCCGGGTGCAGCTCCTCCTCGGCTGGAGCTGGCGAGGGGGACGTTTCTCCGTGATGCTTGTAGCTCAGTTCTCAAGGAAATTACCTGTCGCGATTACCAGAAGTGCAAAGGAATTCACGTTTTATAGTTAAATTCTTACAGTAATTATTACCTCATTAAAATCTACAGACAGATGCTACACAGAAATAGTAGAAAGAAAGCACCACCCGTCCCTTTCGTAGGGGTGTTACCCCTGATAGTGCATGCGGAGATTTTAAATGGTCAGTAGGACCCAAAACTCCACTACTCTGAAAGTTCTTTGTGTGCAACAATTGCCACTGAAGTTGTGAGAGGAAGGAGCAAAATACCTCTTCTCGAGCCTCCTCTTTACCGTTTGAATGATTGCACATGGGTACGTGGAAATGGCTCGATTGTGTTGAGCGTGCTTTAAGTAAAAGTTTTTCCATCCCCAAATGGCACGTTACACACGTCGAGGAGATTATAAATGTGCTGCATATGTTGCATGGCTGCACATTAGCTAGATGGAGCGTGGCACGGTTGCTGGTGCTTGGGTGTAGGTGATAAAGGCACAAGCGGAGAATACAAGCTGTCGGAGCTGTAAGGCAGAATTAATTTCTTTTAGGGATTTCCTGGTGACATCATTCATAATTATATGGCTTAATCCTCTAATCTACTGTAGTGCCTTCAGTTCACATTGGGCCGAATCCACCGAGTCCTGAGATGATTTTTACTCCCGCCCACCTGACTGAATCATTTGGAGTGTTGCTTGTGTAAGCCACTGATTTAAGGGGAATGGCCCAATTACTTTAAATAGGAATTGGAAGCAACATCAGCCGGAATTGGGCCCAGGCATTGCACAGTTCTCCAGTGAGAGCAGACGGCTTGATGCTTAATTTTTACTTCAGAAAGAAACAGTATTTGCAGCTGCTTGTTCCACTGAGGAGAGACAGCATAAAATACTAGATGCAAGTGCGGTGGATATGCCTGTGGTTTCTTTCTGATAGACCGGTGGAGACCACAGGGGAAAAGGAGACTTGGTTGTCATACTGAAGCTGCTGATTTGTTGTTTATTAATTATTAACTAGGCTTTTGAGTGCCTGCTGCAGCTTGAAGAGCCAGCTCAGGAAAATGACTAGATATTTTAAGCAGTGTAGGATCTTGCTGAATAGTTACTGTGACATTGGAAACAGTCTCTGCTTTTTGAAAGTATTTTAAAAGCTGGAAGAGGACACACTGAAGCTGTCACACAAGATCCTTCATTGGCATAAATCGAAGCCTGTGCAGCTACAGTGATGTATACTTGTTGAGCCTTGGGTATTCAGGCTGGAATAAACAGTTTTAATAGAGCAGTGGAGCCACTGTGATTTATGGGAGTGCCTATACTTGCTCGATGTGGTTTCTGTCCTCACCCAGTTGATGACTGTGACAGAGCTTTCACTTACTTTAATGGGGTTGAGATATGTCTTACTGGACAGAGGTTGTCCTTTCTGTTGAGCAAGTTTTTAGTACCTGTTTGACCTCACTTCATGTAAGTGGGTTATTGCCGATCTGATTTGAATAGATGTAGCCCTTTCAGGTGAGGAACAGGATTCTCTGTTGTGGTTGTTCACTGCCTGAGTGTCTGGGGTGTAAGTCAAAGATAGTACCAGAAACCTGATGATGTTGCTGGTTATCTGGGAAGTTTTTACCTTTGGAGAAGTTTATCTGGGTTCTCTGGTATTCTGTAATTCTAATTTTCTGCAAAATGTGTTTATCCCCAAATCCTTATGAAATCACTGTGTATGTACGGATGATTCCGCGCTCTTGGAGCTTCAGTTCCATCAGACACCTCTAGATCTAAATTTTCCTCGTAGAGTAAGGTTGCTAGAGACCTAGCTTTCGGTATTTTTTACTACTCTGCCCCTTGTGGAGTAAAATCTTCTGCATTAGCACAACACATTTTTCCAACAAGTTTTAATCCTTGAGGAAAGGAGTTAAGTGCTGTAGTACAGATGATTTATGAGTAGTACATGTAACGTGTTCGTTCTGTACACCTCAGTAATTTCTCAGAGCCTTTCAAAGAATCAAACTAGAGTATTTGCTGCTTAACTGATCCAGCAGTGCAGTCCTGGAATAACAAATCAATCAATTTAGAGCTGAATGTAAGTCCGCTCAGTGGAAATCAATCTGGACGTGCTTTACAGGTAATGTCCTTGCTCCATGGAAGTCAGTGGGACTATTACCATTGACTTCAGCTGTGTCAGGGTTTCATTCTTGGAGCCTGTTCCCATTACTAATGACGTTAGTGAAAAATTTCATTAGGAAAGTGTTTGGATCCCACACAAGATGTTTGACCTGTGTCTCAGGCACGGGTCTCGTGTCACGCTTATTGCTGTGCTGAGGGAGGCACTGAGGTCAGGCTGGCCTCTCCCCATCCCTAGAGAAAGGAGATGTGTTTAATGAACTTGGTGTGCTGTAAACAGCAAGTTGGCCTGAGCTTCTCAGCGTGGCAGTTTCAAACTGCTCGAGTCTGTGTCTTTTCTGTCAATCCCATCAGGTCTCCACTAGATCAATGAGTGCCCGTTTTTGTTTTTTTTTTTTTTTTTTTCCTGAGCATTTTCTAAATTTTAGGTTTAGATTTTTGCTTCTTCAGTGGGTGCTTCTGCGACCCAGAGATGCTGCTGCTGGTTTAGATGAATGAATGTCTGTTTGGAGGTGGCTCTTGCACACTCTGTAGGTGCCAGCTGTGCTGAGGTACAGAGGTGCCCTTCTGAAGCAGTATCAAACGATTTTGTGAGTCACTCCAGGCTCTTAGATTACAGGATGGTGTTCTTTTGCCCTGCTACCCTTTTTCCTCTGGGGTCCTTTTGTCCAGTTGGCAAAGTGGATTGCATGCAGGCCGTGAGCTGTGGGCCTGATGGGTTGGTCACAGCAAGGCATGAAATGTGAGAGGAATTCTCAGTCCTCATGTCTCCCTGGAAATAGCGTGGCCAATAGATGAGTGCTGAAAATCCCTCTCATCAGTGTGCATAGGTGGTTATGCTTTCCTTTATTTATTGCTCTTTAACCTTATGAAGATCCTGGAGTAATGTATCAGTTTTAGAATGTTTTAACATGTGTGTAGTAAAATCTCTGAAAAGGAAATAGTTTAATGGAAAGAACTGGAATAGAATATCTTCTCTTTCCTGCAGTGGAGGTACTGTCTAATAAGTAATTACTGTATACAGTGTGAGTGGGAAGGTACTAGAAATGTCTATGCTAGATATTCTTCTCCATTCTTTTCATTACCTGATTTGAAATAAAAATTGATCTCTCTGCCTCCAACAGCTGTAGGGTTTGGAATGGATCCTGACTTACAAATTGATATCATCACAGAACTGGATCTTGTGAATACAACCTTTGGGGTAACACAGGTTTCAGGACTACACAATGCCAGCAAAGCATTTTTATTCCAAGGTAAGAGAAACATCCTCAATTCTCTTCTCTCTCTTCTATCTGCATGAGCTCATAAAAGCTTTGATGCTTAAGCAATTCCCTGTATTGATGGTCTTACTTAACTGTTGCTTTCTTTAATTTTCATTTTTTTGGAAGTAGTTCTTGTTGCTTTCCTGAAATGCAGATGACACTATTTTGTGTGTGCTATGGGGTAGTTGAGGTTAGAGATATTTAGGGAAGTATTTCTGGGTAGGTTTTCAATACTCCCCAGTATTTATTTCTGACTGAATATGTGAAAGTGATTCTAAGGGATGGACTTTGTTGTGTTTTTGTGTTCTTTTTCTCTGTGTTTATACACATGCAGAGGTACACACAACTAAAGCTCTGTAACTATGAGAAAGCATTTAATGTGTTGACACTGATTAGTAACGTAGCAAGTCTTTCATTGACTTTGAAAGCTGCTAAAGTGGGAAAATAGAACAGTATTGTATTTAACTGCCCAAGCTGAGTACCAGGGACAGGATAAGTCACTTGGAGTTGTGATTCCTCCTCCCTCTTTGTTCAGTATTCTAAGATCATTTTGTGAAGGGTTTTTAAATGGTGTTGGGATTTTTGTATTTTTTTCAGTGAGTGAAATTCTGGATGTATTTTTTTTAATGTATTTTAAGTAAGGTCCAGATTAAGAGACAATGTCCTGTTGGGTGGAAGCACTGAGTTGCTACAATATGCTTATTAGGCAAGAAAGACGTTTATGTAATTTGAGATTAACGCGTGAATTAAAGCACAATTGGGAACGTTTTTATTGAGGAGACTTCTTCTTATGTTTGTTTTTTCTTTACTGTGCTTTACTCAGCGTTGAATTGTGCATATTAGTGTCTCACTTTTTCATGTCTGTCCTCTGTAGCTGTTTTAAGAGGCAAATGATGATGATCTCATTTAGCTTTAGTTCTGGATTTGCAGTGCTTACTGAGTTTATTGTAAATAATAAAGGAGGTGAATCCATAATCTTAGTTCTTTCTTTATCTGGCCAATGCCACTTTAGGAGTCAGAGCAGATGTAGAGGGTTGACCTTGGCTGAATGCCAGGCACCCACCAAATCTACTCTATCACTTCCCTCTGCAACTGGACAGGGGAGAGAAAATATGGCAAAAGGTTCATGAGTTGAGATAAGGGCAGAGAGAGATCACTCAGTGATTACTGTCATGGGCAAAACAGACTCAGCCTGGGGATATTAATTGAATTTATTACTAACAGAATCAAAGCAGGATAATGAGAAGTAAAAACATACCTTAAAAATGTCTTTCCCCTACCCCTCCCTCCTTCCCGGCTTCACCTCCCCACCCCAGTGGCGCAGGGAAACAGGGAATGGGAGTTATGGTCAGTTCATCACAGGTTGGTTGTGCTGCTGCTCAGGGAGAGGAGAGTCCTTCCTCTGCTCCCCATGGGGTCCATCCCATGGGAGACTGTTCTCCACGAACCTCTCCAGAGTGAGTCCACCCCACAGGCAGCAATTCTCCCCAAACTGCTGTAATGTGGGTCACTTTCCCAGGGGGACAGTCCTTCAGGCACAGGCTGCTCCAACGTGGGTCCCCCCACAGGTCCTACTGGAAAACCTGCTCCAGCGTGGGCTCCTCTCTCCACGGATCCGCAGGTCCCTGCCAGGACCCTGCTCCAGCACAGGCTTCCCACAGGTTCACAGCTGCATCCACCTGCTCCGGTGTGGGGCTCCTCCAGGGGCTGCAGGAGGACCTCTGCTCCCCCATGGACCCCTGTGGGCTGCAGGAGGTCTCAGCTCTGGTGCCTGGAGCACCTCCTGCCCCTCCTTCCCCACTGACCATGGTGCCACTGCTGGTGGTGTAGGGAAGAAGTCCGAGATGTCTGTCAGGGCATGGATTGAGAGCATTGATGCTGAAAGTACCTTTGAAAGGTTAATGGTGAAGATGTTATGGATATTCTATTCCTTTTTCCTTGGAGAAATACACCTGTAGTTTAGGAACTTAGGACTAATGAGATGAAAAAGGTAGAATGTATCAAATTCATATAAACTGAAGGATAGATGCTGATGGGAAACAAGAAACAAAAATTCACTGTATGAAGTGAATAAACAATTTGAACGCTGTAGTTAGGTACATAAAGCTTTTTTTTTTTTTTTTTAATTCCCACAACAGAAATTCTTTTTGCTGATGCACACAGGAATAGCCCTGTGCTTGGATATCGCCTCTAGTGTGAAACTTCCTGGAAGGTGGCTCAGGAAGATTGCTTTCTTCAGTTAAGCTCATCAGCCCTTGGGTCAGGAGAAGACTGTCAGATGGGATGGAAGTCTGAGGCTGCCCTGTTGTCTGCTTCCCTTCTTGTTCATATCTCTTATTTGTTAAATGTCAGCAGCTGAATGAATTCCCTTTTTCTAACAGAGGTGACTTACTTTACAACTGCAGTCTGGCTGCGTGCCAGGTCCCTTGGCTGGAACCAGGATATACTTAATTTTGATTTTTTTTTTTCTTTTATCCTGCCACGCAGTAAAACCAATATAGAACTTGGGGCAGTGTATGGACAACTGCTGCATCTAAGTTAGAAGTAATACTTTCTCCCTCGGAGATTCACAAGAAAAACTTGGCCAACATGATGCTCCCAGAGCAAAGACCTAAAGTTAGTGGTTAGTTTAGAAATTACTGCATCCTTCTGGACTAGCTATTCTAGCCTCCAAATTGTGGTCCTTTCAGCCCAGCTTTGCTTTGCTCAGTCCTTCCCCATGTGTGAGTAGTCAGGGTGTGCTATGCCCTGCTTAATCCCCCTGCTCCGGGGTTGCCTTAGAGGCTCTGGCAGGATGTTTGCTGAACGTGGAGCCACATTAGAAGACCTCTTTCCAGGCTTTCACCACAGAGGATTCCCTAGTTTAGGACATCAGAGGAGTTTGGATGTTCTTTGGCGTGTGGTTTTTTTCACAGGGATAGTTCTGCCTGCTGCCTTTGACAGCGACGTATCGGGGCTTCCATAATGGTTCCCTGTGGATCATTTTCTGTCTTGTAAGATGTATTTTCTAAAATGGCTATAAGGGAGCTGTTCAAACTGAAAGTGTTCTTTTGTGTGTCCCAGCAAGTTTACATTTTTTAAGGTAGAGGAATGGTAATTTTTCCCCAGCCCAGACAGTTGTGTGTCCAAGGGTAGTGAAAATATGGCTTGTTCTCCCAAGCAAGATTCCTTTTCTGCCAATTAAACTCTTTGAAACAGAGAGCTTTGTAAGTTTTGAGCATTTTTTTCTGTTGAATTGAGGCAAAAAGAGGAAATGGAGAAGTGTGGTGATATGAAGACATGCACAAGAGAAAGGGAAACTGTTATTTTTAATTAGATTTTTGATCAGTGGTGTTAGCTCTCTTACAGTAAGCGACATACTGTTTGTTACAGAGTTTCTGGGGAGTGATGTCATGATTTAATTTATCCTAGAGAAAATGTAGAAAGATTCTTTTCCCCGGAGAGTCTGTGATTTCAGTTCAACACAATCTCAAGTGAAGTTGGTAGAGTATTCCGATTTTTTTAATAATGTTGATAGTAGCAACCAAAGCTCAGATTTCTGTGAGAAGCTTTACAAGCAAAAAAACCACATTCAATTCTGTTGCAAATTATGTGACAGCGTGGTAGAAACAAAGTGGCAATTGAGAGATGTGGGTTGCCTTTGGGCAAGCAATTCTGTTCCTAATTCAGAAAAGCACAGAGACCTATAATTAAGTGGAGTCAGCTGAGTGGTCCTGTTGGGCGTGGACTTCGATTATTAGAGTATTTCAGCTGGATTTTGGATCGATCAGTTCCATTGTTTGCATGTTTCAGTTTCATCCTTTGTGAAATGGAGATGAGAAAATCAAAAACGCAGTGTTCAGTATTGACAGCGTGAATTAGAAGAAATGTGGATCTCTAACTCATAATTGCAATTCCGCAAGCAGTCTGATTCTTAAGATCCCTCAAATCGTGGGGTCTTTATAATTTATTAATTTGTCAACACCAGAGCAGGGGGGGGAAGTGTCTTAGTGGGCAGATGGGTTGTTCTGGCACGAAGGGGCAAAGGAGGGTGAGTGGAGGTTCTTGGCTAGAGTGCTGTTGGGGAATAGGGCACCCAAGATCCTGGTGTCTGACCCACATCTCCTCACCTCCAACCAGGACTACAAAGAATTGAAGGAAACAGTTGGGGGGAGGGGAATCAACCTCAACAAAAAATGTATTGAAAATGTTAATTGCTCACCTAATGTGTTACAGTAACATCTTACGGACATTGAATGAAAGACATCTGTAAATATGTCTCACGTCTGTAAACTGGTATCTTACAAACATGAAAAAAAAAAAAATGAACAGGATCAGAATCCTAGAACGGTGTAAACTTTAGTACATCAAGAAACAGGGAGTTATGGCTCCCTTGACAGTGCTCTGTCCTGTTCTGTTTAGATAGCAGGGAGGCAGGGCTTGTTTTGACCCTGACTTGGCAGGATCTTGAGTTCAGTGGTAGAGGAAAATTCTCATGATAAATAAGGCAAGAGGAGGTGCTTAACTGGCCATCCTATTTCTAGGTAGACTGAGCCCAATATTTAGCCTACCTGTTAAATTACATGATTAATAACCAGTCTTACTTTTGTTCTCTGCGCAGCTCTCATTGGGGAAGTAAAATTTTATTCCTTTTACAACCTGTCAGCTATGCCTCTTTCTTTTTAATTCTTCTCACAACATCTCTTTTGAGCTAACAGAGACTTGAAACCTTTACTTATAAAACAGTTCCACCCTAGAAGTTTATTAAGACTTTGCTGTTTCCTCTCCTAGCAAGCTGGCAGCATTTTTCAGCTCGGCCTTTAAATTAGGAACGGTCTTTTTACTACTTATGCTGTGCTTAGCACTCAGTAAAAGAAACCACCAAGTACTGTTAAAAGTCTAAAGACATATAGTCCTTTCTTCCCTGGCCGTTTCTTGACTTGCATTAAACAACCAGTGGATTTGTGAGAGGAACACCTGGCCTGGAGCTCCTGCAGCACAGAGTTCAGTCA